AGGGCCTCGCAAACGAGGTAATTCATGTTGCCCGCCGCCCCAACAGCGGTAGTCAGAGATGGGGTGGGGCCGCCGGTGGGGGTCCGGCTAACGCAAAGACCGAGCATTTTGCCAGTAGCTGCGCCTCCCTTTCTCATCATCCCCCACCCCTCAGGGCAGTTCTGTAGACCGGGAACTTTTTTTTTTCTTTTTCTCTGTAATTAATTTGTAAAATTGAGGCCCGGGACCTCACAATTCTACCCGGTGATAACGCGGGCCATTACCCAACTTCGGCTTGCACTGGAAAGCGGGTCCAGCGTCCCACAAAGAATACAGACATAAATCCAGAGTTCTGAGAACAGGCTGACGTTCCTGAATCAGTCCTCTAACCACTGTAGCAACTTTGTCTTCCTTTATTTCCTTATAATCAGGCAGAGAGACCCTGGTTGATCCCGCCTACTATCCGTTACCCATTTACCCTCATATGACTCCCATTGTCCTATCAGCATCTCCTTCCAACCTGCCGGGATGCTCTTGATGATCCTTTCCAGCCTTTCTCCTACCAGTCTCATACGCTTAAGTTTTTATCTGATCTCCACTTCTCTAACCCCATGGCTGCTGGGGCCTAGGCCGCCATGAATTGCTTCAATACTCATCGACTGAACTAGCTTGCTATTCTGTTATCAGAAGAAGACCCATGGTCAATCTCCCTAGTCCTGATCGTAGTCACATCCGCCGACCCGTGAATACAGTCTTGCTTGAACAGTAGTCCTTGCTTGGAAGTATGAGTAGCTAGATCTAGTTGTGTGACCAGAACTTCAGGCTTATTTGGTGCCCTTTCCTAGGGTGAAGAGATCCGGAACTGATAATTATGCTCTTTGGAGCTACACTTTGTAAGGGAGGGACGCTGGACCCGCGGCAAGGTCCCACTTGCACGAATTAAGAGATCCTGACCGTAGATTGCAAAGATCAACGGTCGAAACCTCCTAATTTGTGCAAGTGGGACCTTGCCCCCGGTTTCCAGCAAGTTTAGCTCCCCACGAATAGGATGGAGCCATCTGAAGATTCCACTAGCTGTGGATGCTCATATCACCGCAGCTAGTGCCGACTCTGATGTTATTAAACAAAAATGTCCTTCGGGACATCCGTTAAAATTGGAACGATACAGAGAACATTAGCATGGCCCCTGCACGCGCAAAAAAAAAAAAAAAAAAAAAAAAAAAAAAAAAAAAACGGAAACGGCCGGCCGTTTTTTTTCTTTTTCTTTCTTTCTTTCTTTCTTTTTGGCCGTTTCTTTTCGCTCCGTCGTCGATCGACAAGCCGTTTTTTTTCCTTTTTCTTCTTTTTCTTTTTTTCTTTTTTCTCTTTTCTTTTCTTTTCCCCAGTGATCCGGCGCACCCTGAGCACAGAGGTCCGACTTTGAAATTGTTTGGGATAATTGGATGCCCCTGAAACACGTTGTCACTTACTTCCCCTCATTTCCGATTTCGTTCCTTCAGCCGCATACGGTCCTTCTCTTTCTGTTCTCCTCTCTTTCGCCATATCTCTTTCTCCCTCTCTTTCTTTCCTTCTGTTTTTTTTTTATCTCTCTCTCATCGGCAGTTTTGGTGTGTTCTGTGGTTGTTCTCATGAACTCGTCATTCGGAAGTATGGTCAAGTCATTCACGCGCTGAATTATATTTCACATACTTACAGCCCGAGTTTACTCTTTTTTCTTTCGGACCGTTTTGGTTTTGTTGAAGGGCAATGGCCCGAGTTTTTTTTTCTTTTTCTTTTTTCTTTTCTTTTTTTGTGACCCGATGGACCACGGATCGGATATTAAACTGATCACAACAGATACTACACTTGATCTTTAATTTAGCCAAAAGACCGACAAAGGTATGTTTCTTGAATTCACATGGTTTTAATTCTCGGATGTCGACTAGGAAGAGCTATGCTGATCGTCTTGATGCAGTTCGACCACGTTGCAATTCAATGTTTGTGGTCTGTTAGAACACTCATATATATATATATATATATATATATATATATATATATATATATCGTCTTCGACGAAACAGTTTGTCACAGCCCCTCGTTTGTTGTCCTCTTCTCTCTCTCTGCCTACGGTTTACCGGGCAGTTCTGTTTGTGACGATATATGCTACGACTTCGCTAGCTACGACTTCGCTAGCTTCCTGCTATGGTTTTTTCCGGTCAGGTCGAGCGGCAGTGGTCGGGGCCGTTACTAGGCGGCCATGCTGTGCCTCTAGTGCCAGCGGCGTGTCTGGAGTGTATTTTTTGGCTGTGACTACCTTTCTTTGTTTGGTGGATGTTTTGCTGGCTTGTGATGGGGTGTGAACCGACAGTCTGTAGAATTTTCCATCTGGTGTGGGTGAGTGATAGTCTACTTTGATTTTGGTTAAGGTAGATTATCATTTACAGTGTAATCAGTGAGGGGATTCTGCAGACTGTCGAGGGTTCAGCCTCCTGATGAGTCGGTGAAACTCCGACGAAACAGTTTGTCGCAGCCCCTCGTTTGTTGTCCTCTTCTCTCTCTCTGCCTACGGTTTACCGGGCAGTTCTGTTTGTGACCATATCTGCTACGACTTCGCTAGCTTCCTGCTACGGTTTTTTCCGGTCAGGTCGAGCGGCAGTGGTCGGGGCCG